AAACTCTGACAGCGCTTTATGGTTCTTCGTTCGTTCTCTCGCGTCGCCCTCTTTGGAGCTTCGGTTCTTTTTCAAACACTCCCATCAGTATCTAACTGGGCACCTGGGGTACCAGAATTGCGGGAGTGAAAGACGCTACTAGGTCAGTAAAAATGGAAGAAAGAAGCAGGCAATGCACGGTGGGAATCCACAAGGACACAAACGGTTCCCCCTCCCCCTTCCACCTCACTTCCTTCGTTCCCCCTTGCCGGGTGCCACATTTCCCATTTTCCACGATCCCTGCCAAACAGTGCTCCCCCTGAACAGCGTCGATGAAGCGAGCGATGCAGCGACCAGTCAGAGACGCCGATGCCTTTTCGTCCAGTCCACTGCTGCCCACCCGCGGGCCTGTTGCAACCACTGAGGTTCTACCCTGCTGTCGGGACGGTCAGGTCCTGCCGTGAAGTAGGTGTGGTGACTGACTGACGAAACGCGTTGCTGGACGAGGCCGGATGGGTCATTGAGGGATGGATGGATCCCGCTGCAATTGCCTGGAAACTCCCAGCAGCCGGAGGTATCAGGTGTGGCAGACACACAACACCCACGACGGGCACTGGATCTTCCATGTTCCAGCGCAGTCCCAGTCCATCCCAGTCGCTGCCTCCTTTTTTTTTTTTTGCTTTCGCTTTCCATCCACGCACCTTTCCACACACTGCCCTTCCATTTCCATTCCCACCTGCCTGGCATCCACTTTTCCTTATCCCACCCACTCCCACTCCCATTCCCACTTCTCTTGCTCCAGTCCTCCCCCCCCCTCCCCCTTCCCGGCTTCCGCCTTCTTCAACCAACGACACTAGTAGTGTACCAGGACTCCTGTCAGCTTGTTGACTTTCCACTTCGTTTGATTTTTTACCTTCCCCCCCTCTCCCTCCTCTCTTTCCCCTTTCTCCCTTCTTCCCTTTACACTCGCTCACCGGCAACTTTCTGTCACTCGCCTCCTCCCTTCCCCTCATCGCTCGTTCCGTCGCGCGATTGATTGATTTTCCCAGGAGGCCTGCGTCGTTGGCATTTGCCCACCGCCAAGTCACCGCGCCAATCGTTTTGTTTGCAGAGAAGAAAAGCAGAGCGGGTAGTTTGGAAAGGAAAAAAAAAAGAGAAGAAATAATAAATCATTCGGTTCGACTCGTTATCGCTGCTCATCGACAAAACAACGCTTAGAATTGCAAGCCCGACGCCCACCGCAGCACTACTGCCTGCAGCAGCAGACAGTCAACGCCAGCACCACCTGCCTGCGCCCCTGGGCTACACCGGTTCACGACACCGATAGACGGCTCTTCAGCACCCACCGCTCACCATCATCAAACAACACCAGGAAGGAGCTGCATTGATTGCAGTGGCCCGCCACTTCTGCTATTTCTACGCATACCAGCTTTAGTAATCGTCGTTGCTGTTGTCGCTTTGCTGCTGCATTATCGCAAGCACCACTCGGCAACAATTCCCAGTTTTTGGTCCAAACGTTAATTATCCCATTCCTTGATTCGTTGTCTCCCATGCGCTTCTGATCAGGTAAGTTGTCCAAAATTCGACCCGCCACAGCCCATATTATATATTCTTTCAATCCGCTGACCTGTCCCGCCCAGCTTTAATTGCCCAATATGTCGGGATACCCTCAGCAAGGCGGCGGAGGCCATCACGATGATGGCTACGGCCATGCTCCCAACGCAAATGGAAATGGTGACGCGTATTACAACGACGATCAGCAGTACTATGATAACCGTAATGGAGGACACGCTGCCGGCGGTCAGCATGGCGAAGGTTACTATGATGAGTCGTATGTTCCCCAAATCTTGCTCTCTTCCCCCTTTTTTTTTGAACGCCTGCGACTGACGCTTTGTCCTGTCTTGCAGCGGCTACTATAACGCCGACCCAAACAACCCGTACCACCAGGATGGTGGTTATTACGACAACCATGAAGGGTTTCAGGAGGGTTACGACAACGGCTACTACGACCAGCATGGCTACGACCAGGCCGGCGGCTATCGAGACAACCATGCCGCTCGTGGCTCTGAGGAGGATTCCGAGACCTTTAGCGATTTCACCATGAGGTCCGACATGGCCCGTGCCGCCGAGATGGACTACTATGGCCGTGGCGATGAGCGCTACGACAGTCAGTATGGCGACCAGGGCGGTGCCCGGGGTTATCGCCCTCCTTCCTCGCAGATCTCGTACGGCGGAAACCGCTCGTCTGGCGCGTCGACACCAAACTACGGCATGGACTACGGTAACGTTCTTCCTGCCGGCCAGCGCTCCAAGGAACCGTATCCCGCCTGGACGTCGGATGCCCAAATCCCCCTCTCGAAGGAGGAGGTGGAGGACATCTTTTTGGATCTCTGCGCAAAGTTCGGTTTCCAGCGTGACAGCATGCGCAACATGTACGACCATCTCATGACGCTTCTCGACTCCCGTGCTTCTCGTATGACTCCCAACCAGGCTCTTCTCTCGCTCCATGCCGACTACATCGGTGGCGACAACGCAAACTACCGCAAGTGGTACTTCGCTGCCCATCTGGATCTGGACGATGCCGTCGGTTTCGCCAACATCAAGGGCAAGAAGGGCAACCTGAAGCGCACCAAGAAAAAGGCCAAGGGTGACGAGCCCCAAAACGAAGCCGAGATCCTTCAAGAGCTGGAGGGTGATGATTCGTTGGAGGCGGCCGAGTTCCGTTGGAAGACTCGCATGAACAGGATGTCGCAGCATGACCGTGTGCGACAGCTTGCCCTTTATCTCCTGATTTGGGGCGAAGCCAACCAGGTCCGCTTCATGCCCGAGTGTCTGTGCTTCCTCTTCAAGTGCGCCGATGACTATCTCAACTCGCCCGCGTGCCAAAACATGGTCGAGCCCGTTGAGGAGTTCACCTTCCTCAACAACGTCATCACCCCGCTGTATCGCTACTGCCGCGATCAGGGTTACGAGATCTACGAAGGTGTCTACGTCCGTCGCGAAAGAGATCACGAGCAGATTATCGGTTATGATGACTGCAACCAGCTCTTCTGGTATCCCGAAGGTATCAACCGTATCGTTCTTGAGGACAAGAGCAAGCTGGTGGACGTCCCTCCCGCTGAGCGTTATCTCAAGCTCAAGGATGTCAACTGGAAGAAGTGCTTCTTCAAGACCTACAGGGAGACACGCTCGTGGTTCCACATGCTTGTCAACTTCAACCGTATCTGGATCATTCACTTGACCATGTTCTGGTTCTACACTGCCTACAACATGCCTACCATCATCACTCCCATGTACGAACAGCAGGTTAACCAGTCACCTCCCAAGGCTGCCATGTGGTCCTTTGTCGGTTTCGGTGGTGCTGTCGCTTCGCTGATCAACTTTGGAGCAACTCTGGCAGAATGGGCCTATGTTCCTCGCAGATGGTCTGGTGCGCAGCATCTGTCCAAGCGAATGCTGTTCATGGTCTTCGTCCTCATCATCAACTTGGCTCCTGGTGTCTATGTCTTCCTTCCGGGCCTGTCAGGCCAGGCTCTGATTGATCATCAGAACAGCACCCCTGTCTATATCGTCGGCATCGTTCACTTCTTTATCGCTCTCGTCACCTTCTTGTTCTTTGCCGTGATGCCTCTGGGTGGTCTCTTCGGCAGTTACCTCACCAAGAACTCACGCAAGTACGTCGCCAGTCAGACATTTACTGCCAGCTG